GGCGCTTCAAATTCGAACCAAGCCGATTCAGCAGCGGGACTCTACCACACGATTCTCTCCGGATTCGCCCCCCCTAGTTTCCGCCACTGGCAGTAAGGCTCCCTCATGCAACACCCCATGGAAAACCTGCACCCTTCCTTGCAGATGAGGCTAGACCGCCCCCTGCAGCAGGGGTGGGTGGTTCCAGCGAGGTTTTTTTAGGGGGGGGGGGTGTGTGCTGGGTGAGCAGCCAAGTGTTTTTTTTTATTTATAATTCTTTAGGGGGTGGTGGGATAGCATTCAAATGAATTGACTTCCTAACAACTCGAGCACCGAAGGCGCGAGCTTCCTAGGGGATCCAGGTGTTGAAAATTAGAACCCTAGAAATGCCACTTCCTGTGATATGAGCATTGAATTACGAGCTTCAGTTTGACTTGAAAAAAGAGAAAACCTTGAAGATTATGCGATATTTCTGAATTTGATTTTTTGCACCCCTGCAGCTCTGTTGAGTGTTGACCAAGGCCAACAGGGGTGCGCTTCCCTATGCACCCCCCTATAAATCCACCCCTGCCCTGCAGTCGATATCCATGCCAATGTAATGTTTGCTTTTCCTACTTTTATCTTGCAGCATGTCTGTGTACCACACCGGGAACAGTGAACGCGTCAATAAACTGTAATGACAATGGTGTGTGTTCTTGTAAGCCACGTGTGATAGGTGATAAGTGTAGCCATTGTCAAAATGGAACATTCAACTTGGCAAACGACAATCAGTATGGTTGTACTGTATGTATGTGCAGTGGGATAACACGAAACTGTACGAGCAGCTCTTTGTATCGTAGCAAGGTAAGAGACCTTAAATTCATGAGTAAAACAAAAACATCAGTAAGTTTACCGCCTACACACGTAACAACGAACAAGTTGTAACAAAACTACAGCAGTCAAGTCAGTCAGCCAGTCGTTCCAAGAACTTGTCAACAGGATGCGTTCGCACTGGTTGTTCGCAGCTTGTTGACAACTTGCTACAAGGTTGTTGAGCTCAACAGACTTGTTACAAGTTGTTCCAACAACTTGTTATCGTCCTGCAATTCAACAATTTGTGAACAAAGTTTTGAGTGACACATCTTGATGACAAGTTGTGAGATTTTTACATGGGCACTCGTGAGCCTATAAAGGATATGACAAACTTTCAATAATTTTCGGGTCCCACTGTTCAATGTTTCATGTTCAACATACGCAAAAATCTCACATCTTGCACCAAGTTTACTAACAAGTCGTTACTAACAGTTGTTTTCGCGCTGCTTGTCTCAAGTTGTCAACAAGTTTGGAACAAGCTGTTAACAACTTGTAACAACCTTGTTGATATTATCAGGCTTGTTGCAAGGTTGTTCCAACAAGTCCGATATAGTCATGATATAACAATATTGTTTCAACCTTGTGTCGTCAACCTTGTAACATTCTTGTTATATCATGACTCCATCATACAGTACTTGTTAGAACAACCTTGTAACAAGTCTGATAATGCCACCAAGCTTGTTACAAGTTGTTAACAGCTTGTTCCAAACTTGTTACAACAACTGGGAACAAGCAGTGCGAACACAACTTGTCGTCAGCTTGTGAACAGACTTGTAACAACTCGTTTGCAGACATGTAACAACTTGTGTGTTTTTACGTGTGTATATCATTTGCTCAATGATCAAGGGACCTGGCTTATGCCCATGTCACACTACACAGCGATAACGATACGATGACTTGTGTACGCGCGCTGATTGGTCAACAATTTATCGTTATCGTCCGACCGAAAAAAAAATCGCTCAGAATCGTTGTCGTCCAAGGATAATTTTATCATTTTCGTTGTTGTGTGGACACTAACACAAGTTTTTCGCCAGTTATCGCGTGTTTACAATTTATCGTTATCTTTGTGCATAGTGTGACCGGACCTTTAGAGTGATCTATTTAATATATGTGCTTTTTGTTCTCCGTTTAGACAAAGTACAATCTGCACGGTTGGAATTTGACACGTGGTCTTGACAGGAATGAAGTAATAGGGGTCATGAAAATCCAGGTATGTTAGTTCATTTTGTAAGTTGTTGCTGACGTTTCCGGTGGCACAAGAGTCTTTACCCTCGATCGACGTTCAGTTTATTCCTTATGGCGTTGTTTGATAATATTTTTACTCAGTCGGTTGCGGTAAAATAAAAATAAAAATATATAATAGTTTTGTTTGTGGAAACGCCACGTTCGATCCGTAAGCCGGGTCTTCATCAGTGCTAATAATATGTCGTATTACATATTATTAGCACTGATGTCGATGAAGATCCGGGCTTACGGATCGAAAGCTTTGCAGTAATAAATTGACGTGGTGTTTCCACAAACAAAATTATTATATATTTTATCTCCATGCAATCATGATTTCAGTCCACGGAGAATCTTGGTAATACTAATTTACATCCAGTAGCATACGCCAAGTGTCTGATCCTACGGTAAATACAGCTATTTCAATTAAGGTTGTCCCGCCGCGAGCAAAGCGGAAAAGTAGAATACGAGCGCGAAAGGCTGCTGTGAATCACTAATAAATGAATGAATTTCTTAGCGATTCCCAGCAGCCTTTCGTGCTTGTATTCGACTTTTCCGCTTTGATCGGGGGAGAACTTGAATTGAAATAGTTGTATACAGATATAAAAAAAGGACATTACTAGGGGGCACTATCAGGGGGGGGGGAGCATGCTCCCCAAGAAAACTTTGAAATTCAGGTGTCTCGGATTCGCCAAAAATGCAATGGCCATACAACATTTGATACATCATTCTATAGACTATACATTTCGACAGTATCGTATTGTTAAGATAGATGCACTTATGATGGATGCTTCCAGCTATCGAATAAATTTTGATCCAGGCGAGAAGAACGAAATCCAACACTAAAGCTAGAAAGAGCGTCTTCGAACGTGTAAAACTACAAATTCAACCTATAGATATTTATCCCGTTGAATATGTTCGGCATAAGCATTCAACTTAGACGTTGATGGCGTTGAATATGTTCGTCATACGCATTCAACTTAGATGTTTATGCCGTTGAAGACGTTCAGCATGAACATTCAACTTGGATGGTTATGCCGTTGACTGTCTTCGGCAAGACCATTCGGCTTGAATGGTTATATTCGGCATAAACATTCAACTTAGATGTTTATACGACGTCATAAACACGGTCAACTTTGGTGTTTATGACGTCGATATAGGACGTCATAAACACGGTCAACTTTGGTGTTTATGACGTCGATATTCGACGTCATAAACACGATCAACTTTGGTGTTTATGACGTCGATAGACGACGTCATAAACACGGTCAACTTTGGTGTTTATGACGATATACGACGTCATAAACACGATCAACTTTGGTGTTTATGACGTCGATATTCGACGTCATAAACACGATCAACTTTGGTGTTTATGACGTCGATATACGACGTCATAAACACGGTCAACTTTGGTGTTTATGACGTCAATATTCGACGTCATAAACACGATCAACTTTGGTGTTTATGACGTCGATATTCGACGACATAAACACGATCAACTTTGGTGTTTATGACGTCGATATACGACGTCATAAACACGGTCAACTTTGGTGTTTATGACGTCGATATACGACGTCATAAACACGATCAACTTTGGTGTTTATGACGTCGATATTCGACGTCATGAACACGGTCAACTTTGGTGTTTATGACGTCGATATACGACGTCATAAACACGGTCAACTTTGGTGTTTATGACGTCGATATACGACGTCAGAAACACGATCAACTTTGGTGTTTCGATATACGACGTCATAAACACGGTCAACTTTGGTGTTTATGACGTCGATATAGGACGTCATAAACACGGTCAACTTTGGTGTTTATGACGTCGATATACGACGTCATAAACACGGTCAACTTTGGTGTTTATGACGTCGATATACGACGTCATAAACACGATCAACTTTGGTGTTGATGACGTCGATATACGACGTCATAAACACGATCAACTTTGGTGTTTATGACGTCGATATTCGACGTCATAAACACGATCAACTTTGGTGTTTATGACGTCGATATACGACGTCATAAACACGGTCAACTTTGGTGTTGATGACGTCGATATACGACGTCATAAACACGATCAACTTTGGTGTTTATGACGTCGATATACGACGTCATAAACACGATCAACTTTGGTGTTTATGACGTCGATATTCAACATCATAAACATTTAACTTGGATGTTTATGACGTTGATATTCAACATTATAAACATTCAACTTGGATCTTTATGACGTTGATTTTCAACGGCATAAGCATTCAACTTGGATCTTTCTGACGTTGATTTTCAACATTCAACTTAGGTGTTTATGACGTTGATATCCAACTTCATAAACATTCAACTTAAATGTTTATGACGTTGATATTCAACGTCATAAACATTCAACTTAGAAGTTTATGACGTTGATATTCAGCGTCATAAACATTCAACTTAGATGTTTATGACGTTGATATTCAACGTCATAAACATTCAACTTAGATTTTTTCTGTGTTGGTGTTGTGTACTCAGGTGAATAATATGTTTGCGATGTTACTCTGAGTGCATGCAAGACTCTGAGTGCATACCAGAGTCGAATCCCACCGTGGCCGGGCATATTTTTCAAGCTCGCCCGGTGTGGATACGCACTTATGACGTTGAATATCAACGTCATAAACATTCAACTTATATTCATAGTCAGGAATCTGGGATGTTTATACGGTTGACTGTCTTCGGTATAACCACTAAACTGGGATGGTTATGACGTTGACGGTCTTCGGCATAATCACGGATCTGGGTTGGTTATGCCGTTGACAGTCTTCGGCATAACCACGAAACTTACACACGGAAGACGTTCTTTTCAGCTATGGGTAATGGGTTTCGTTTTTCTTGTTTAATCAAAGTTTCTTCGTTTTCTGGAATCATCGATTGCATCCCCCCCCCCCCCTGGCTGCATGTGTGACGCGTGCTGCTTGCAGTTTGCAGACATCACACGCGAATGTTCATAACGGTAAACTGGGTTTTTTTGTTCAAAATTTTGACGATATAGGATGAAATGAATGGTCGACCAGTTGATTTGATCTCTGCTAACGTTAGCACTGGAGAGCTCTTGTACTGGAGGACTGATGAGGATTACTTCAAAGGAAATAGCCTGGTAACTACAGATTTTCAATCTGTTTGCTACTAATTTAACTGTAAAAACACGATGAAGTTATTCAGTTTTCATCCTGCCAAAGTTCGGCCTGCAGATCTGTGAAATTATGTGTAAGGAAGATTCTGTTTTGTTAAATAGGCAACTTCCTATGGTGGTCATCTTGAGTTTACCAGGAAAGTGTCTTTTATTCCGAATGGAACATTGGATACAGCTCTTCATATCATCATAAAAGTAAGTAGTATACATTAGATACCACCTTCAGCTTGTATTTTAACTTTAATTCATAGTACGAATATCTGATAAATATAATTCTTAGGAATTTTCATAAATTACGTTTTATTTTTAGGGTCCGCGAAATATCACCATTGAAACAAGTTTACCACATGCCACCATACAGAGTCCGGTCGTTGTATCTGTAAAAATTGTCGAGGTATTTATGAAATAATTGGTTTATTAGTACGCGAAACTTCTCAATGTCTACTAACTTAAGTTACAATATAGCCATTTACAACATGCGACATTGGTCCACCGAGGTAATAAACATTTTTGAAGGTCGAAAATAATTTTGTGTTACTATTAGTTTGGCTGGAAACACCACAACACCAACACAGCTGTAGACAGAAGCACTTTTATGCTGATTCTTTCAAAGCCTGAAAGAATGTGGGTAACTGCGTCCTATTTTACAGCAGGAAATGGAACCTATCAAACCAGGTTTGTTTTTGTCATTAACGTTACTATTTGTTTTAGTCGGTGACATGCAATCAAGTTTTTTCTGGCTACTGCTGTTCTGCGATAAAACTAAATCAATAAGAGATTACGTCTATATACTGTAGAGAGAACAGTTTAGAATTGATAGAGCTATCCAGTATAAATAAAGTTAGTTTAGTTTTGGTTTCCTCCTGTAGGAACACTGGAACAATAAGAGATGATCCTTACTGGACCTCTAGGAAGACCAGTTTCTAACTGATAGAACTATCCAGTAAAAATAAAGTTAGTTTAGTTTAGGTTTCCTCCTGTAGTAACACTGGATCAATAAGAGATGATCCTTACTGGACCTCTACGAAAACCAGTTAAGAACTGATAGAGCTATATCCAAAGTTAGGATCAATGAGGGACAATTCATACAGAAGTCAGTAAAAACTGTTTAATATGAATGAAATTATAGTTTAGGTTTTGCATCATCAACAAGTTTATTAATTTTCATATGTAGCAAGCAAACTCATGTTGCGGTGTGTATATTAACTGCACATAAATTTTTCCTCTCTTCATATAGTTTTGGCAATCTTCACGTCAGTTCTGTGTCAAACATATCAAGTAGCAATAATATTGCGATTGATGTAGAACAGTGCTCTTGTGGCGAGGCTTATCAAGGATCATCTTGCGAGGTGCGTCGTTTTGCACTAATAAACACTTCGTATGAAATAGACGTCCTGGTCAAATATGCATTTTGTGGTGAACGCCCGTCTCTTTTAAACGCACCGTATCTAATCAACACCCATCCCTACAAGGGCATTTGTTAATGATTAGTTTTGGATCCTGGCTCTTTGACATTTTTAGCTCTTTATAGTTATTACTGGGAGCCAGTACCCTTTTCAAGTGCATAATAAAACGTTGTTGTTGTATGCGTTTTCAACTTTGTATGATCTTTTGTCTTTACAGCGCTGTGCCCGTGGTTATCACAGAGTGAACGTTGCTGGTCATCCTTTCTTTGGTGAATGTATTTCATGTAACTGTCATGGCCATACTGAGGACTGCGATCCTGACACTGGGAAATGTTTGGTGAGTAGAATGCCATTAATGATCATGTGTTATTTTGTTAAGCCCAGGTACACGCATTAAAGCGCGCAAGTTGTTACAGGTCTGCAAACAAGTTGTTACAAATCTGTTCGCAAGCTGTCGACAAGTTGTGTTCGCACTGCTTGTTCCCAGTTGTTGTAACAAGTTTGGAACAAGCTGTTAACAACTTGTAACAAGCTTGATGGCATTATCAGACTTGTTGCAAGGTTGTTCTAACAAGTCTGATACAGTCATGATATAACAAGAATGTTACACAAGGTTGATGACACAAGGTTGAAACAATATCGTCATATCATGATTGTATCGGACTTGTTGGAACCTTGCAAAAAGTCTGATAATATCAACAAGGTTGTCACAAGTTGTTAACAGTTTGTTCCAAACTTGTTGACAACTTAAGACAAGCAGTGCGAAGGCAACTTGTTGGCAGACTTTCTACAAGATGCGAGACTTTTGCGTGTATGTAAGACTTACAGTGCATGTAGTGTAACATCTTGATTTTAATATGTTTCAAATTTTCCCTTAGGATTGTCAACACAACACGACTGGTTTCAATTGTACGGAATGTAGAGATGGTTTCTATGGAAACGCGAGAAATGGAACTGAGGATGATTGCCGAAAGTGTCCTTGTGAACCACCCAAGACAACCACGTGAGTTTAAGCTTGTACACACGTAAAAACGTACCGGTCTTCCCACAAGTCGTTACAAATCTGTTCACAAGCTGTCGACAAGTTGTGTTCGCACTGCTTGTTCCCAGTTGTTGTAACAAGTTTGGAACAAGCTGTTAACAACTTGTAACAAGTTTGATGGCATTATCAGACTTGTCACAAGGTTGTTCTAACACAAGTCTGATACACCTATGATATAACAAGAATGTTACAAGGTTGTTCTAACACAAGTCTGATACACCTATGATATAACAAGAATGTTACAAGGTTGACGACACAAGGTTGTAACAATATTGTTATATCATGACTGTATCGTATACAAGGATAGCTTAGTAATGTTTACAACATGAGCGGCCGTGTTGTATCAGATATACAAACTCGAGCCGAAGGCGAGAGTTTGTATATCTGATACAACACGGACGCGAATTAAAAAACGACTTAATTAAACTAACTAAATTAACGAAATTAAAAAACGACTCATCTTATGAGTTCATTGGCGAAGTAATTTTAAAAATAAACGTTGTCTAAGCCGAGAAAATCAAAGTTAAAGTTTATGTAAATCAACATGAATCTGTATCACATATACAGATACGACACGCTTATGATTTTTCTTTGTGTTTTCTTCATGAATTATTAATGAGTTTTTTAAATGTATATATTAATATCAACAAGGTTGTTACAAGTTGCTAGCAGTTTGTTCCAAACTTGTTTGACAACTTGGGACAAGCAGTGCGAACACAACTTTTTGACGGTTTGTTGGCAGACTTACCAGTAGATTTTAGATTTTTGCGTGTGTAGCAAGTCTGCCAACAAGTCGTCTGCAAGTTGTTTTAACATGACTGTATCAGACTTGCCAGAACAACATTGCAACAAGTCTGATAATGCCATCAAGCTTGTTGCAAGTTGTTAACAGCTTGTTCCAAACTTGTTACAACAACTAGGAACAAGCAATGCGAACACAACTTGTCGACAGCTTGTGAACAGATTTGTAACAATTTTTTCGCAGACCTGTAGCAGACTTGTAGCAATGCTGCTCCAACAACAGGATATGTTCGCACTGCTTGTTCTCAGCTTGTTGACAACTTGCTACAAGGTTGTTGAGCTCAACAGACTTGTTACAAATTGTTCCAACAACTTGTTATCGTCCTACAATTCAGCAACTTGTCAATAAGTTGTGAGTGACAAGCTTGCTACAAGCCTGTTGCGAACACATCTTGTTGACAAGTTGCGATATTTTTACGTGTGTTTTTCTTTTAGAATCAAATTAAAGATTTCATTTTCGTTTCTAGTGATTTGTGTACCATGCTGTTCAATGGTTCTGCTAAATGTTTAAATTGTTCTAAAGGCTACGAAAAGAATCTTGAATGCAACAGGTATATACTAGTATGATTGACAAGTATGATTGTCAGATGCTGTTGAAACAAGGCATTCTCATCTGGGGCAGATCTACAGTGTACCTTGGGGGGAGAGGGGCCCAGCACCACCCTAACAAAATCTGCTTGTCATTGACCATACAATTTTCGCTTTTTCGAATAGCGATTAGCGAAACTTCTACTGTTAGCGCGTGTCGATTTCTTGAAACGATTTAATTGATTTGTGAGCTCACGAGAAAATACTCAGAGTGCTTTAGTTAAATATCATGGTTATATATGTAAACATGTCGAGTTGTTACA